ATTAAACTGATTGAAAGATTATGTCTTCATCATATGAACTTATATAGTATACATGTTATGTTATGTCTGCTTTTTTTATATAAGGAAAGAAGAAATAAGACATCTTTCTATTTTGAACAATTTCAAGTAATATGTTCTTGTTCTTATTGCAATACGGTGCAATCCTCTTAATGAATATTATTCCACAATTGTTCATGCTCGATGTGACAACAAAGATGAAAGAAAATATTTACAGGTGCAAGTTGAAATCAGTCTTATGGTGGAATTGTTGGATACTGCCGATCAGTTACACCCTGCATGAACACATCTAGTGATGAACTATCAAACAATGTTGTGGAAGGCTGTTCCATTTCCATATAATGTCTGGTGAGAAGGGATGACTGTATGTTGATGTTCTGACATATGAGACAAGGAATTGCATACGGTGTCCTCTAGCTACTGATGTTGTATTATGTAGCTCTAGTGGTATTGGTACGAGGCCATGTTCTATTCTGTAAATAATCACAGCTTTACCTTTGGCCCTCCACTCGGCTAATGGTTGCCACTGTAGAGTTTTTAGTATTAATGATACACTTATTGTTTGTTAGTAATCGTTCATTACAAACCGGGCTGACCTTCTCTGCACTCGTTCTCGTGTCTGCATGTTAAGACTAATAAACGGGTCTTAAACTGTTCATGCATGTTCAGTGATCTTACTAACGTTGTGAATCATACAAATTCTGCTTGTTGGTGACAGTTCTGCAGGTTTCTTTGGATAAAAAGCCCTTTTAGAAATCACTTTTGAGCTATGTCCTCAATGAATGTGTTCCAATTTATGGTTTTATGGATTGTAGCACCTACTTATTTATCCGAGTAAATAAATTCTTATTACAATTTACATTGCACTTTGTCTAATAATTTTTACCAATGCCCGTATTGGCTACAACAACGATTTTACCTAAGTTACTAATAAAATCAAAAGATTTAGATAGCAAAAGTATTATACATTTGTATTCTTTGTACGTTGCATTATACAAAGTTTGTCGGTAAGCATATATAAACGTTATTGGTGATACATACAAAATCAAAGGCTAACAACGGGTTTTTTGTCCCCCTTTTTGTTTAGATCTTTAAAAACCGAAAGTATAATTAATCAAACCACCACGTCCACTTTGTGATTTTTTTAGATGTATTTCTTTTTGTATCCGTCTGATGCGTAAAGCATTTTTCAACTGATTTGTATAGTTTGTTCTTATGTTGTACTGTTACACCACTGTCCCAGGTTAGTGGGAGGGTAGAGCGCTCACAAACTTGTTTAACCCCGCCACATGCTGCATGTGCGTGTCCCAAAAAAAACCATAATATGTAAACGTTGTGTTGATCAACATCATTTTTTTGTTATTTTTACTTGATGTTCAAAGCCCTTTTGCTTCAAAGTACAGCATTCAATGCAATAATTAAAAGCATGCCAATGTAGATATATAACTGCATTTGAACACGAATGTATACAGAGTAAAATTAAATTCAACCACTAAGCAATTGACGATGAAATTTGTTTTTTGCTACTAGTCTGCAAAATAAATGTTCATTTTTAGCTTTTGATAAACATATAAGTCATCAGTTCATATCCATAATCTTTCCATTTGCGTCCCAGACAAAACGCATTTGTGTTAGATTTACAGTTGGGGGATGATCGCATTGACCTAGCACACTATATTTATCATCTTAAAATTATAGCTTGATTAACAATCTTTCTAGGATAGAATACCCCAGACTTCCCTAAATCAGTTATGAATCATCGACTATTAAAAAGAACTTAATAGTATCAAGTATATCATTCTCTTTTGAAGGAATGTTTCTTATATTAGTGTTAATATAGAATAGATATACATGATAACACCGAAGTGGTGACTAACTACAGAATAAAAACGGATACATAAAACAACATAAACCAGCACATAAAAATTCACATCCTAGTTAGCCAAAGAGATCAACGCAAAAAAAGTGACGTCACATTTGAATTTCTGAAATTTCCCCAAAATAGGATAGAAGTAGGATAGAATTCAATATTCTTTTTGTTCATATGGCTTTTGGAATGTTTTGATTTCAATTTGTATCCATGTAAAACAATAGTTTTAAAAAAGTGTGAATGAGAGGGGAGAAAACACTATTGAAAAAAAAACTGAAGCGATACATGAATCATTGTGCTTGTGTAGAATAAACTATCAAATAATGTAAAATCTTGAAATGATTTAGGATGCATCTGTTTATTGGCTTGAATAATAACTTTCTTTTGTTCATGCTTGATGTCTTGGTTTTAACGAATTTTGTATAAAACAAAATCTGAAATTTGTATTGTTGACATATTTCGTGGTGGTTAATTTTTACACATAAAATACACAAAAATTTATTCGCCACCAATGATGAATGTATGATCGGATGATAATTTTTTTCTCTCTTACATTTGATCTAGGAATGGTGAAAGCACTAATATATACACCTATTTCTCTGTGAATAACATTTTAGAAAATTCAATACATATATCAGTAATCGATTTGGTTTTCATTGTCATGAGCATAGACATACTTTCATGTGGACAAAAATGTTTAACTGACGTTATACAGCGTTCGACAGACACATAATTCTTTAACAATCATGGCAGTTATAATGAATAACAATATTTTACCGTTTCATGTGTTCGATTTCATTTGTTTTTGATCGTGCAGTTGTTGGATAATTTATTGATATATTGTAGCTCCGTGTGTGCTTATTGTCTAGCGATATAAATAGTTTGTTTATTCATATTGATAATATGTGCATATCCAACTTTGTGTGTTTGAACTACGTGGTAATGAAACAATGTGAAGAAAGAACTCAAATGTTTTACGAAGAGCCATCAAGCATGTCATAGATCATACTCAGTAATGATGCATTGATTACAATAAAGTACAGAACACTAGTACTAAACCTGTCCCTACTCTCAAGAGATCGAATTTATCGTTTCTTCCATGAGATGAAGACTGATTCCATATATCCACAGATGCCCATTGCCTAAAAAACGTGTTTGTATTTTACATTATCGAATCATCCTGCAATAATTAATTATGAAGCCCTTTACATATTTTGACGGTATATTTTTACATACATTTTGTTTACTTTTATTGACTACATTGTATATACAGGAGGAGGAAGATCCCCGGTTTTTGATGGAGTTCGTCTTGCTCAGATGCTTTAGATGCCTATGTTGTGTGTTGCGTACTGTTTGTCTTTGATCGTTTTTTTTTTTTTCAATTGTTACCATTGCTTTATCAGTTAATTTTCGACTGATGAATGTATGTATCCCTGTTGGATTTTTGTCCCTATTTTAAAGCTATCATATTCTTTTTAAGATATGGAAAAATTAATAAAAATATAATTGAGGTCTGGAGCTGGCATGCAAGTAACTGCTAGTAGTCCTTTGTTAATGAAGGTAATAATTAACATTTTGCGTAGTTTCTGTGACCTATTCATATTTATATAGGACTCGGTCTTCTTTAAAACTGAGTTTTACTGAGTGTATTGATGTGTGTTTGTTTATCCCTCATTAGCTAGAAGTATTAGGGTGCGGAGAGATCTCATAAAGCATATGAAATCCCGCCGCATTGTTGCGCCAGTCCCACGTAAGGAACCTCACACCCTTGATAGTTTTGTGTATTTTCATTTAAATGATATATTTGTTGACTGTGTGTATATTTTTGGACAATGCAAAATATCAGAGAAGCACATTCATTTTATACCAATAATGCTAATAACGGCCACCCGCTTGTTTTAATTCCGGAAATATCATACATATGTGTTTGTCTTTTTTTTTAAGTCACTCATATCGGTTAAAGAGGATGTCCAAACTATAAGGTAAATTATGATGTATGATGCTAGACCAGATAAGATGTTGTGCAACATCAATACACACGTTCAAATAGATATGCTTTTGATATTCATTCGAAGTTTCTAGAGTTTCGATATTGAATATTTAAAATTCCCCTCAATTGACATATATGGTGCCAAAAGTTTGCATTATAATGGTGAATAAGGATTGTAGAACTAGCTTCAGTTTTGTATATAACTGTCACACTACACAGTCAAACCAATTTTGGAATAGACAATTGTGTCTGTATTGATATGAGTTTTAGCCATGTAGTTCAACATTAAAACGACAGTACCTTTACTTAACTCAAATGCATTCTTCGACAATTGTATCCCTTCGATGATGCTTGAGGTCTGAATATTTGAACAATCCAACACGTATTTAAAACGCTAGAGATCTCATTCAAAACTTGCTTTATATATTATGAAAAACATTGGCAAGAATTACAAAACAGTTTTTTCAGACAACATCCATCTGCTTTTATATATTGATACAAAGCCAAAGTTTATGATAGATGCTAGAAATTCATATATCCTTTAGGAATATACCAAATCAACATAATACACACAGTAGGAGTCGACTCGAAGACCGAATTTGAGTGGTTCGACAGCCTTAAAACTCCTGTAAAGCGAGAAAATCCATACACAGTCTATTCGACAAAATCGGTGTAAAACAGGCGATTTTTCTGATATCTTATGATATATGACTTTCCACCATGTCTTATATGTATTCAGACTCATAAACGTCGTATCAATCACCAAATACTAGATTTGATGTTAAAACATGTTTTGATGGAACAATTTTATGTGAAACAGAAACTATTTAAATACAGCACAATATTATATGAACATTTGCGTTCGTTAATCCTTTATTGATCAATGTTGAAACCATAAGTTTGTTAAAAAAAAACTCTTAGTGTTCTACCAAATCATGTTGATCTTACTCTTATCATTTGACAAGAGAAACATTCTAAAAACTGAACTTGAACACAACCCGCTAAAGAACCACAAGAAGCGAAACAAAATCATATTAGTCTTTTTATTTTAATAAAGTACAACAAAAACAATGAGGCACATGCCTATATACACGAGACAGGTGTTGAACTAGAATGGTGTGAATTACACATGATACACGCCTACATCCACCTGTTTGGTCTTTAACTGGAAAAGTGTGAGTTACACATAATATATGATTACATCCACGAGTTTGGTGTTGAGCTGGATTGGTGTGAATTTTGAACTGAGCATCTTTGATAACTTTCGTTTACCTTACGTCTATAAGTAAAGAAAGCCTTCAATTCTTTTCTGAAGTACGCACCCGTTACAGAATAGAGAAAGAAATTTATACAATAGTTCAAAAAATATGCAGTCTTGGTAAAGAATAGTATGTTTTGCAAGGTATCTACTTTACTACCTGATGAAAATGTTTTCGTTCTTGTTTGGTGAAACTGCTTAAACCATACAACAGCGTAAGGTGAGTTAAAAGCAATAAAACAAATCGAAATTGTTATAAGTATTACAGTAAACTCAAACCGAATGATGCTTTCTTCAGTAATAAAATTGCATTTCCGATGTTGTCTGCTCCTTTCTATCAATGTACGAATTATCAGTATGTTAAGAGTTGTTATGACAAAAAACGGTAGGAATGTTATACACACTGCAAATACGCAATCGTAAATAAATGAAACCGTCACAAGGTCTGTTTTCGGGAGACACCATGGGGTTTGATCAGGTCCAATATGGCGAACTTCATTTAGCCAAGGCCTTATTGAGGAAATGAATATTGATATCAGCACTAAAATTACAACAATTTTCTTTGACGAATTAATATCACATATGCCCCTTCGTTTGAGTGGATGACATATTCCTATGTACCGTTCCAAAGTAAAACTTGCCACCAGCCATGTTGAGAGAAATCGAGAGGCGTATGACAAGAAAATTGTAAGTTGACAAATTCCATTGACGTCTAAAAATTCTGCAATGTTGCTACGGAATTCCTCACGTAATCCACGCTTCACCCATTCAATGAGAACAAAAAATATCAAAGCTAGAAGATCTGCTGTCGACAGAGCAGCTAAATAGACACTAGCTGATAATTTTCTCATGTTTTTGGTAACAAATACCATTAGTGATAAAACGTTTCCCACAATTCCTACGATGAATATAATAGGTGTAAAATAGGTGAAGAAAACTAGTCCTTCGTGGCTGATCTCAGTTGAATTGTTTAACTCCCCAAAACTGAGAAAAAAATCGTTGTCATTGCATGGTATTTGAGTACTGTTTGAACTGTTAAACCTTAAGCATGGGTCATTCTTTGTTTCGTTTTCCTGAAATAATAGAAGCATAAATATTTAATCATCTGATTTTTACGAAGTTTGGAAAAATCTATATGAGATAGATTTATAATCCATTTTGCGTATAGAGATTTTACAAATTTTATAAATAAATGATTTTTGATATTTTTTTCACTCTCTCTTTATTGAATTTCTTGTCAGAATTTTAACACTCTTATATTAACAGTTACCGATAAAAAGTCATAAAGATATATGTGCTGAGCACGAAGTTTTTGAATTACTTGCAAAATACAATCTACTCTGTGTGTATATCAATTAATCAACGGTATATCACATGGCTGCAAAATTGCATAATGCAAGACATAAAAAAATAACATATATTGAAAGAATGTTTAATAGTAATAAGGAAAATTATTATATTGATTGCAATAAATAACTTTGATTCCCCATTGAAATAAATCTGATCACTTCTCTGACGTCATACATTAATAAGTGTTGTCAGGACTTAGTCAATGACGTTGCATCAACACAATTGAGAATGCGTAGTAACAAAATATACTTCCTTTCATTTTTGCTTTATCTTAATCAAACAGTCCTCAATAAAAAGAATATATAATTCCAGGATTAAAATATCGACAATTTTTCAACTCGTGGCCGAGCAACACTGAAAACTCATGCGCCACGTGTTTCATGAATGAATGCGTTTTTCCGTCACTCGATGCATATTATTCTATTCATGAATTCTTATGAAATGTAAGATAAAGGAAAGAGAGATAGCAAAGGGGCAATCAAATATCCATTACTCCTATACAAAAAAAAACAACAAAAAAACGCATGGCCAGAAAAATAGGAACAACGTACAAGACTATCATAAACAACAAAACTCTGCACTGAATATGAAGACTGAACAAAACATGAATATTCAATTAAATGTAGTAATAACGTGTTACCTAATTATTTTGCATTTTAACTGTAAAACCTTCCAATTAATCCGATTTTAAGCACATATTTTGGTAAGTCGTGTTACTTTATATGCAATTATCATGGTAGTAATAATTGGACTGTGGATTGTCGGTTCTTCAGTTTGTCATTTAAAAGCTAAAATTCAAGGCAGCAATTACAACTTTATTGTTTGCTTTGATTGGACTTATAATTATCGATTTCACAATGATATCTTTTCTCTTTCTTTATATTAATTGACTTTACATTATTCCCATTATGATTTTTTTTTCCTCAGACGAGTAGTTCGACCACTAGTAGTTTACATCTAATAATATAATATGCTTTTGTTAAGCAAATCAAAGTAAAATACAAAAACTGCAAGAATCACATTCACTCCAAAAGAAAAAAAAGACTGGATGTATCAACAGAGTAAGCGTCTCATGCTAGGCATAAATCAAAATGAATTAACAAAGAACACATTTAATAACGATACAATATTTCAAATATTTGATATAAATACGCAATATGTTCTTATCTGTAATTATTAAATATAAACAGTTTTAATATCTGCCTTAATCAGAGTGATCAACCGACTATTGAATGCACGGGTTGTGAAGTCATATTAGTATATTATTTCCTTGCGATCAACTACTTTTTTTTAGGGAAAAATGCAATCAAAACATTCGATTCATCATGCATTGAGATGTCAATACATATACTATCAATTTATATCAGTATATTAAACATCTTGTTATTTTTAAACAGAGGAGCAAACATCCTTAAGAACAAAATAAGAAACATAAACATCCTCTCAAAATAATAAAAAAAAACATCAAAAACAAATGAAAAATAAGATAAACGACAAAAAAGATTGCTCTTCGATGCACTGTAAATTGAAAATTATTTCTGAACATGCGTAGAACAAAGATTAAGCAGCAAATAAATCTAACGATGACAGCAGAATAAGTGATTAAACCCACTCGTTTTGAAATAAATGCGTCAAATAAATTCTTAAGTGTATCGTTGAATTACAACCTTACTTAGACATCATCAGTGAAAAGAACATACGACCGATTTTTATGTCCCATTTGGCAATACAACTCTTATAAACATAAGAACACTTATTAAATATACTATTGCTATTGCTTTTGCTATATTGTTGCATATAGACTTTATATTCCCGTGAAAAGAAAAGACTTCATAAGTGTTTATGGTTGTATCTAATCCTAATTGTGTTTATGCAAATAAAATATGTTTAAAGTAAACACGTCAAAAAACAATTAACAACATTTTTTTCAGTTCAAAATTTTTCGAAATAAATGTCCTATGATCTCAACTAAACATAAATTGTAATGCATGTTGAATAGATAAGTTGATACTGAATGATAACATTAAATAATTATCTTTTGGTCTTAAAACAGTCATATAATATAATATAAGTAATGCAAAATATTTGTAAGAGGAGTAGTACGAAATAGTTAATTCCGGACGACAATTATATTTGAAACCGACATTTGATTTTCCTAATTCTAAGGTGTATTTTCTTTATTCTTGCAATTTTTACAATGTTTTTTTTTTTTTGTTCAAATGTTTAAAAAACACTTGCATATTATGTTTTTTTCAATGTTTTCAAACGGCAAGAACAATGACAACTACAAATATACAAATAAAATCATCCAAGATACAAAACTTAAGGTTGTATACCTCAGAAACGCGTTTCGCGTTAATTAGACTCGTCTGTGGCACTGCAATCAAAATAGAAGGGAAGAAACCAAGGACAACATTTTGGAGCATTTAAGGGGGTACATAACACTACAGGGAGATAACTCTTTAAACATAAGCAGAACGTTTTAATCACGTTCTATTGTTAAGGAAATATTAAGCTTCTCAATGATCAAAATTAGTGTTTGTCAAACTGCTATATATTCAATGAAATTTTTCCGATAAAGTGTGTGATTCAAGTTTTTTTGAAATTTTCATATTTTTGTCAAAGGGTCAAAGTAAATATTTTGTTAAAATTTTATGAAAATTAAACGAGCCAAATTAATCTTAGTCAAGGTGTTTGGTACCACCTTAAAAATCGAATAGTTAATTAGAAATGTTTACCAAATCTGGCAAAGGAAATTCCTGTATGTATATATATGCCTGTGGGTAAAAAAAAAATAATAGTATTTTAAACATTGATTTCCATTATTCCTAGACAATACATTTACAGAAAATAATCGTGTCATACAGGTTTTCAGAAAATGTACCATACATTTCGTATGATTTGAATCGCCGTAATAGTTTAAATAGAATGCACACAAGCCTTTAAAATTTAAAATTATATTCCATACCTTAGTTGTCCCAATGTACAATTTTAATGCCGAAAACAAATAATCACTCATAATGTATTGCTTTCCTTAAAAGCTGGTCATGTTCCATTTAAATCGTCTAATTATTCTTTGAATCAGAAACTATTTCGAAACTTCCAACAGGTGTCTTTATATATGATTCTTCCTACACATTTAACGCACTTTTTTATGAAAACAAAACGTCGTTACCAATAAAATTTTACGTTTGTCTGCAAGGAAAACAAATCTATAAACCTCATCTTTATAGAAAAACAGCTGTGACAAGTAAAGTTATTTGAATAACACATTCAGATTTGATAATTCTTTTCTCCAGTGACACAATACTATAAATTGATTGCATGCGTATTCGGTATTTTTCTTTATTCTTTTTTTTTTATTTTGAAATTGTCTTTTCCATATTTTATTTGAAACGATATCAAATAATGTGAAAGAGAGGCGAAAGATACCAAAAAGTATCAAAATCTTTGGTTAAAGACAAGTTAACAAATTGACAACGTCTTAAGAAAAAAATGACTATTAAACGATACACATGAGACTACAAAACACAACATTGAAAACTGAGAGCACGAATCTCTCCAAAAATCGGAGGTGATCTCAGCTGATCCGAAGGTAACAAAAAAATGAAAACACTTTCTATATTTCATGCGTCCGATGCTCTTTTCTGGATTTACCTCCACCAGGAACGCTCAAAACCGAATATTTGAAAGCCAATGATGAATAATAAAGACCAAAACAATTGAAGAGATATATAACCAAAAAGACCTAAACAAATAGCCAAATCAATTTAAGGTCAACTTTGCCTGAGGAAGTTGAAAGCTTAGATTCTTTATAATTTATAAATTTATAAACAGACAATTTTAAAAAGATTTGTTATTAATCATGTCAGTACCGAAGTAATTACTACTGAGCTGGTGATACCCTCGGAGACTGATAGTCCAACAGCATAAATGTAAATTAATGATGTACATTTTCATCTCGTTTTCAGTTGCATCTTTAATTTTTGATCTACAGATCGATTAATATGTTTAAATGTCATTGTCATATTGAAATTGGATTTTTAAATCCTGCAATCCAATTTGCCCTATAGAGTAATGATAGAATTTTATTAATGCTGGATGATATTTATGGAATCTGTTTTATGTTTAGTTTTGTATTAAGTAATTAGCCAAGTGACGGATTATATCCACATGTGCAGATTTAATCCTGTATTGGTATGATTATCAGAACATGTATGTGACTAACTTTTATGCTGCATATACAAAAAACTCATCAAAGATACTATGTTTATATATTGGTATGCCAGTCGAGTTTTTTTGTTAATATAAGACTCGTCAGAGGCCCCCGAAGAAAAAAATGTTGGAAACTGTAACAACAAACACTTGCTATGGGTTATCAATACTATAGATTGTGTTGCCATTCTATTTCGATATAAAACATATTTCTAAATATGTATCATAAACTTATTCTCAATACATCAATAGTGACCTTCAATTACATGTGAGAGGTGGAGGCCCGCTAACATGTTTAACCCAGCAACATTCTGTATGTGCCTCTCCAAATTCAGGAGTCAGTAATTTAGTGGTTGACGTTTGTTGTTGTATTTCGGTGTGTTTGGTTCATTGATTTTTACATAAATGAGGCCGTTAGTTTTCTCGTTTGAATTATTTTACATTTGTCATTTCGAGGCCTTTTATAACTTACTATGATGTAAGGGTTTTGCACATTGTTGTAGGCCGT